CCAGTGCCGGGCATGCGGCATCCACACGTCAATTAAATTACATAGGACGTTGCCATTATCAAAAGCATGACCGTGCATGTGATGGCTGAGTAACACTTAAAGCTCGCTGTTTATTTCCAGATAGTTACAATTTAGGAGCTCCTACTTTGCAGCGCAGATGTAAATAGGACACTCAGAGATGTTACCAGCGCGGATGGCACGGCCGCCGAAGACGGTGAAGAATGTCGGTCTCCCTGTGAAATTGTATGTGGTATATTTTGAGGTGGAGTTTTGAGATTTACAAACAGTTATGTAGCAAGGTGGAATACATATGCTCGAGGAATGAGAAGAGAAACTCTGATCGGGATTTTCGTGCAATAATCTGCATGAAAATTAGGCCCTTGCAACCCAAGTGCCCTTAAACAGGCAAATCGAGAATGGCAGCAGCTCCTTGGAAGAGCTGTACTTCACAGCTGTCACTCAGGCTAGACAGCAGCCACGTCAGCAGAGTCAAGTGAGTGGCCTCTCAGGGATTCACCGGGCTCCAATTCATGCAATAACAATAGCTCACGCTGGGCAGTATGTACTGGGCGCTTCTGCTTTACATGCAGTTCCGTTAACTCATGAATGCAGTAAGTAATAGCCCTTTTTTTTTTTTTTTAATCCTTGATATTTTCCATTGATTTGTTTCTTTAATATGTTTTTATTTATTTTAGAGAGAGGAAAGGGAGAGAAACATGGATGTAAGAGAGAAACATGGCTCGGTTGCCTGCCTCCAGCACACACCCTGACTGGGGACCACACTCACCATCTGGGCATGTACCCTGACCAGGAATCCAGCCAGCAACCTTAGGTGCATGGAATGGCCCTCAACCAACGAAGCCACGCTGGCCAGAGCTCCATTGATTTTTTTTTTTATATATATATAGAGAGAGAAAAAAATAAACAAACATTAATCTGTTGCCTCCCAGTGATCAAACCCCCAACCTAGGTATGTGCCTTGACTGGGAATCAAACCTGCAGGTTTTTTTTTGTGTACAGGATGACGCTTAACCAACTGAGCCACCCAGCATAATATTCTTGTTTTACAGATAAGGTAACTGAGATAACAGAGGCTAAGGGATGTTAACCACTGAACTGCCACAATGTTTTAAATTTAATTTAAAAAGGTTCGCCGCTTGCACCTTTGGACGCTTATGGTGTACAAATGGTTAAGGAGCTTGCCCAGGATCGCACGGTTTTAAAACTGCCAGATTCAGTGCAGGAAGGGGAAAAATAGTATCCAACAATTTCTTTTGGACCAATCCCCCAGCCTTCCTGTCAGGGAACCGTTACGTACTAGTATTCACTTGGACTGTCTTCTTTTTTAAAATATGTTTTTATTGATTTCAGAGAGGAAGGGAGAGGGAGAGATGGAAACCTCAGTGATGAGAGAAAATCATTGATCGGCTGCCTCCTACATGCCCCCTACCCGGGATCGAGCCCACAACCCGGCATGTGCCCTGGTTGGGAATCGAACTGTGACCTCCTGGTACATAGGTTGATGCTCAATCACTGAGCCACACCAGCTGGGTCTCTCAGACTACCTTGAAGACCTTGTCTGTGTGGGGTTGACTAACTTTCCCTGACTGTGATGTAAATAACCCACCCAGGCCAGGGGCATTTTTGTTTTGCTGCAGCACATTCATTTAGGTGGCTCAGGTATTTGCAACCTGATACTGGCAACCGACTCCTCTCAGTTTGGACTCAAATCGATTGACACAAAAGATCTTTCTACTTTGCTTTCTCCCTCCCAGGTATTTTATACTTTTCCCAGAATTGTCAAGTGTACATTTTAAAATGTCACTACGTACAGGAGGGAAAAATGGTAAATGTCAATATAAGGACGAGCAGTAGGGACACAAGGTACCTTCCTAGCCTCATTTTCCTTTACTAAGAAGTAGCTACAGTTTTGGTTCCTCGATTCTTTATTATTATCATTAATCCTTTTAGATCAGTGGTCGGCAAACCGCGGCTCACGAGCCACAGGCAGCTCTTTGGAGAAGTGGCCCCTTGAGTGTCCTAACGCCACTTCTTCAAAAGGGGCTCGCCCAGGCCGAAAACCGACTTCTGCGCATGGGCCACGAAGTTTCAGTCGCACTGTACGTGCACGCCCGCATGTGTTATTTTGTGGAAGAGCCACCCTCAAGGGGCCAAAGAGCCGCATGTGGCTCTGGAGCCGTGGTTTGCTGACCACTGTTCTAGATGGACCTGACTCTCTCTGTGTGTCAGAATGCGTGCGGGAATGAGACCTGCCCAACGGGGCCGAGGGTGGTGGCTTCTCCATCATCGATAACTCTTGAAATTCACCGTGTGCAACAGGAGACAAGTAGATGTGAAGGCCTCTGGAGCATCCATCCGCCCCGTGGGAATTCTGTGAAAACACACACTCACACACACTCACACACACACACACACCCTCTCTCTCTCTCTTGCTCTTTCTTTAGAGGCCAAAGGAACAGTGTCAGGCCGGGACTGCACAAAACCACATAGGAAGCCCTGGCCCTTTTCTCCCCATCCGTGAAGGCCCCACGTCCTCACTCACAGACCCGTGTGTCCACAGATCTGTAGGTAACAGAACAGAGGACATGAGGACAGCGGGTTTTCCACCGTCCTGCTCCGCACCCTGTGTGCCCCGGGCAGGCAGCATGGGTCGCTGTGGGCAGGATGGTTCTTCCCCCTTTCCTCTCTGCTTTAAGAGACACAGCTACCTCCACTTTCCAGGCTGACCGGTTTATTTCCCCCCCCCCCCACGGAAAACATTTGATTTTATAGCTTCCCTGTGTAGATCTAGGCAACTCTCCGAAGAGCCCTCGTTCAGAAGTGATGTCCCAGATCCGTGAGGGTGCGGGCCTTGGGGGGAGGGTCCTGAGGCCTCTGCCTCCCGAGGACCAGGGCTGGGGATTGCCATGGGGGCGGGAGGGCGGGGGCTGCTCGGGGGCCCAGGCAGTGTAATTTCCGGTTTTTTAGCCGTCGGCTGATTCTGAGCCGGATCTTCCTGGCCTTCAGCCTTGTGCCAGGCACCAACTGACGGGACCCACTTGCCTAAGTGGAGCCCCTGCAGCAGCGGACCTTGCTCATAGCTCTTCACACTGCTGCCCAAATACTAGCATTTGGGATGTAAAGAATGGGAGAGTCGCCGAAACCGGTCTGGCTCAGTGGATGGAGCGTCAGCCTGCGGACTGAAAGGTCCTGGGTTCGATTCCGGTCAAGGGCATGTACCTTGGTTGCGGGCACATTCCCAGTAGGGGGCGTGCAGGAGGCAGCTGACAGTTTGAAAGTTCTCATTCAAACCCTAATCCATTCACCAGTATTGACACATTTTACTGAAACTTTCCAACTAAATCCAGAGTAATACCTTGTCGGTGTCACTTGGCAAAGCAGTGACATCTGTCTAGTTGCGTTTGATTCTAACCACAAACGGTGAGCAGAGTGTTGCTTCAGAGGTCGGCCCACCCTGCCTGTGCAGAGCAGGCGTCAACACAGTGAGTCACGTAGTCCCAGAGGATCCCAGTCAGTGAAAACTGGAGCCAAACACCAACCTGTGTTCTGCCTCCGTTATTCTCCTGTCTGCTGCTTTTCCTCCTGTAATTAATGCCCATTGCCAGATGGGTTCTCACTCTCTGTGGAATCTGTTCAGTGGATGAGACTTTGAATAGGCAGGTGACGCGGGGGATAATGACTGGCCTTATTAAACTCTGGTTTAAGGAAAGTCCTACTTCAGACCGATACAGGTATGCCTTCTTTTTGTTGACTTTTGAAGAATATATTTAAATGATGATTCAAGAGTTGCCTGTGGCATGGGTCTGTATGGCAGCAGCCTATGTATGAAGATGGTTATTGAAGAAAATAATTTTTCGGCAAGAAGAAAAATTTCCTAACCCTGCTTCCTGTCATTCAAATTCTTCAAAGGGTGTTGTAAGGTTTTTTATTTGTTATGTCAATGTGATGTTGCCTAAAAACCCCAATGCTGTTAGCAGTGAATAAAGATAATCATTTCTGATTGCTTTCTTTAAAAAAAAAAAAAAAAAAAAAAAGGAAGAAAAAAGGTGGTAAGAAAATGTAAAGAAAGCCCAGTGGTGGTACTTTAGAATTGGGGCTTAGGTTAAATATTTCTTATTTTCTCTAAAGTGACAAAACCATCTTAAGAAAAACACACAGCTAAGACATAGTGGCAATAATTTGTATAAATGAGGCTATTAGCTGAGCTACCAACGCCATTAAAAACAATTAGTTCGTACTCCTGCAAGGCCTGTGAGAGAAATCTTAAGATGTAGGAATTGCTTGTGCAATGCTACAAAGAATGCCAGGCTCTATGTTGGATTACTGTCTGGTCCGTTTTATTGTAATTATTCAGTAATTCTGTAAGACTAAGCCTCAAAAAAAAAAAATTAACAGTTAATGAACTACACAATAACCAAGTCTGACTTGGGCCAGGTCAGTTGAGTTTCTTGAGAGGAGAGAGAATAGGGACAGGTAAGTGGGAACTGTGTGAGCAGATGTATTCCTGTTGGGAACAGGACTAAATTGCATGGCAGTCCAACCCTCTGGAGAACCAGATATAAATCTGTCATTAAAAATGAGTGTTATGTTATTGATTAAAAAGTAGTAAAGTATTAGTTTCCAGTATTTTAATTTTAAAGAGCATCGTTGGGTACCACTGTTTCAACTTGAGTCAAAGAAGACAAATCATGTTCCTTCTGTGAGATGTTCCTTAAATTCATCTTAGATTAAGTTGGACTTGAACGTTTTCGGGAAATTGTGCTGAGCCTAAAAATTCCTCCAAACCTTAGCATCTGTTCTGTATCCACAAAGGGAAATAACTACATGTCAAATGCAAGAAGATTCTATTTCCTTTAGACAGTGTCTTTTTTTTTTTTTTTTTACAAGTTTACATCAAAAGTCTTCTTAGACCTTAACAGTGTTTTGTTTCCTTGTGGCAGGACAGCTAATGTCTAATCATTGCATTTTCTCCCACCCAGTCCCCTGCCAGACGGTTCTAGATTACTTGAAGACGGTGCTACAGCATCACAACCAACTCATGATCCCACAGCCAGTTGAGCAGCCCTCCGAGGTAGGTCTCCATTTGTTATGAAGTAAATGTTGTTCCATTGGGAATTTCCTCAAAATGAAGCGTCTTGATGGCTTATCCACTTATACCAGAACAAGTTGGCTAACAAAATACATTTCTGACTCGCTGAGGCTTACGGGTCTGTCACCTGTGAGTATGTAGACGGCAGCAAAAGATGGTGATGCATATATTTAACTCACAAAGAGTCAGTCTGTACTCTGGGAGCGATAAGAGAGAAGTGGAAGTTTCCATAATGTGGGAAGTTTTTCTGCCATTCTTTTGGCACAAAGAGGGCTGAAGATGGGAGTCACCACCTGTGGTTTCACCTGGACTGTTGACAGTAGATTCTGCCTTCTCCATTCTCCACACCGAACTTACTTCTCTAAAGTACAGATAAAAATGAATGTCACATATTTGATTGCTCCTCAGAAAGGGCTCATGGTTTCCTAACTTAACATTTCTATTGTACAAAAAGCACATCTGAAAAGTCCACTTTCCCCCAGAAGCTCTCCCTGATGGCCATACCCTCTCTGCTCCACGGGCACATTGTTCTAAGATGAATTCTGCACTTACTGAAAGCTCAGTGTCCACCTGAGTCTTATATTTGGTTGATTCTATGAAGACATAGAGCACTGTGCATCTTGGTTTTTTTCAAAGTTGACTCACCAGTAGGTCAGGGTTTAGTAACCTGTTGGTGGCTAGTTGAGGATAGCATGCACTCGGAATTCCATGAAAACATGAAAGTAGGGGAAATGCCTACATTTCTTCTGCATAGGACTATTTAAACTTGACTTGTCATCATTAATGCTATGTTATTTTTATTGTCATATCAGACATATGAGCATTTTCTCATTGGTGGTATTTACTACCTTTAATTTCTATTAACTATGTACAATAAATCTCATCCACAACACAGATTATTCTGAGCTGTTTTGAACTGTAAGTTACTTTCTCTTTTTTCTTTTTTAAGAAAATTGCCTTCAAATGCTATTTCTGTATTTTATGAGAGCTACATTTCATGGAAAGGTATCTGAGTATATTTTGTAAGGATTTGAGAAAGCTCCTTCCTTGTATTGTCACTCCCTAATCTCAAGTACCGGCTCTTTTTTTTTTTTTTAATTTAATAAATCTTTATTGTTTAGATTATTACAATAGTTTCTCCTTTTCCCCCCCCAAAGCTCCCCTCCACCCGGTTCTCACCCCACCCTCTGCCCTTACCCACCCTCTTGTCCTCATTCATAGGTGAACAATTTTAGTCCAGTCTCTTCCTGCACCCCCAAACCCCTTTTCCTCTGATAATTATCAATTTACTCCCTTTCATTGCCCCTGATACTATTATATTCACCAGTTATTCTGTTCCTCAGATTTTTAATTCGCTTGATTTTTAGGTTCACTTGTTGATAGATATGTATTTGTTGTTCATAATTTTTATCTTTACTTTTTTCTTCTTCCTCTTCTTAAAGAATACCTTTCAGGATTTCATAAAATACTGGTTTGGTGGTGATGAACTCCTTTAGTTTTTTTCTTATCTGTGAAGCTCTATATCTGACCTTTAATTCTGAATGATAACTTTGTTGGGTAGAGTAATCTTGGTTGTAGGTTCTTGCTATTCATCACTTTGAATATTTCTTGCCACTCTCGTCTGGCCTGCATAATTTCTTTTGAGAAATCAGCTGACAATCGTATGGGTGCTCCCATGTAGGTAATTAACTGTTTTTCTCTTGCTGCTTTTAATATTTTCTCTTTGTCTTTTGCCTTTGGCATTTTAATTATGATATGTCTTGGTGTGGTCCTCTTTGGATTCCTCTTGTTTGGGGTTCTCTGTGCTTCCTGTACTTGTAAGTCTATTTCTTTCACCAGGTGGGGGAAGTTTTCTGTCATTATTTCTTCAAATAGGTTTTCAGTATCTTGTTCTCTCTCTTCTTCTGGCACCCCCATAATTCAGATGTTGATACACTTGAAGTTGTCCCAGAGGCTTCTTACACTATCTTCAACTTTTTGGATTCTTTTTGCTTTTTGCTTTTCGCTTTTCCAGCTAAGTGTCCTTTGCTTTTTTGTATTTCAAATCTTTGACTTGCTTCTTGTGGCCTGCCTCTTTGTCTCCGAATTTTCACTGCTTCCCTGAGTTGGTAGAGTATCTTTATGTGCTAGGTTTCCTATATGGCCCAGTGGGTAAGCCTCCCCAGTTAGCTGAGATGGACCCTCTTGGTGCTCCCCTTTGTGGACTGCATGTACAGCCTTGTTGTAGTTAATCTTGATTGTTGTTGGTATCACTGGGAGGAATTGACTTCCAGGCCAATTGGCTGTGAGTATCAGCTATGTCTATGCCCGGACACCTTCTGTATTTGGAGACATTCTTTTAGGACCAGATTTGCAAAATTGCAAAAGCCTCTGCGCTCAGCTTGGATGGGGCTGAGTCTCAAGGCTGGGCCGACAGTCTTGACTTACTGTAATCCCTGCCCTTGCGCACGTGCCACCCGACCTCTGCCTTCCACGACTCCCCTGAGTTTCCACCTGACAGTCCAGATTCCCCCTGCAAGAGTGTGTGTGTGCCCCAAGGGCTCGCCAGGAACTGGGTTTCAGTACAGCGGGAACGGGGATTCAGTGCAGTCAGGAGCTTCCCACTCCTTTTGCTACAGAGAGGCTGCAGCAGTCTCTACAGTCAAGACCTCTCTGCGTGCACTCACAGGCGCTCACACCTCTAGAACCTTGTCCGCTGCAGCTCCCCAGAGCTTCCGAGTCTCCGTGTGCCTTTCTCTACAGCCCAGACTCCCCCGTATGAGCTTGGGCCACAGGGCTTCGGCTGGAGCTGGGGTTCAGTGCAGGTGATTTCCTTTCCCCTGCCACCAGCCAGGCACTCGGCCGCCCTTCCTCTCTGCATGCGCGTCTTCCTACTTCGGTGCTTTGCGGCACCTCTGAACCATGAGCGTTTCTCTTTCCTTCTAGGGGTACAATTTCCACTCAGCCCGCTTTCCTGTGGTTTGGGATGATGTCCGTTCTGTCTTTTAGTTGTTGTTTTGAAATTGTTGTGCGAGGCAGCAGTTTAGGTGCTTACCTAGGCCGCCATCTTGGTTTCTCCAGAGCAACGGTCTGAAGCTGGGGTGGATGCCACCACCGGGCCCGTGCAAATTCACAAGCCAGGTCCTCGGCAGCCAGAAGCGCTGGCAATGGCCAAGTACTGCCTGTCTTAAAATAGACTCAACTCTGGTCCAAGAGACGAACTCTGAGTTTGGGGGCATGGGAGACTATGGGAAAGGATTTAACTTAGGAGACCCTGGGAAAGGGTTTAACCTCCTTGGCCACACAGCTCTGGGAATCCTAGATTGTCAGATGAGCTCTCACACCCAAGGGAAAGCCCTTTTAAAACTTGTGCAGTGTGGAATGATCGCAAGGTTTAAAAACTAGTTGCACAATCTCCTTTTCCCAGGCTGACAGGTACTTACAGGGACCACAGCTAAGAAGCTGGTTTTCACCTAAGGAAGGTGGGAGTCCTCTGTCTTCATAGTCCTTTTTTATGGCCCTCTGTCTTTGATGGTCTCCTTTAAGTTCTTTAACTTTGCCAATTTATTAGTCAGAAGCTCTTCAAGAAGCCTGCGTTGCAGCGCGTTGCTGAGGGTCTGCCGTCTGTTGGTCACAGTGGCGTACACTGCGTCGTTAGTCACAGATGTTCATCACACCTGCTCTCTCAGGCACTGTTCTCGGCCCTGGAAGAAGGCACAGACTAAAGGAGATAATCATCCCAGATCCCATGGGTTTATCTTCTGGTGGGGAGATTAGTGGACTTCGCCCCATAGGCCCACAGGCTGAGATTATCATCCTTATTGGGACAGAAGAGAGCTTAAATTGAGAGAACTTGTCACCTGGCCAGGGCCTGCGCCAGAGCCCACCACTGAGCTTACACCAGCATCTCGGCCTGTGGCCAGGGCACAGAGTGCGTGTGGTAGCCTCGGGCTGCTCACCGTGGCTCGATACCTCGTGATAGTTATTCGTGAAGCTCTTCCACACAGTTGCTGGTCTGAGGCAGTGAGCCTTGGATCCCAGCTTCCCCAGGCCCCAGTGGGCTGTGCTCAGGGCTGTTGGCTCAACTGATCAGAACTCTGTGACCCCTTCCCTCCCTGTGCATGGGAAGCCGTGGCATTTTCTTCCTTGCTACCTGCCTCTGTCTGCTCCCAGACATATCCTCCGACCCTTATCTTTGTGAAGGGTAACCCACTTGCCCTGGGAATCATCTCGACTCCCTGTGGATCTCTGAATATGCTTGCCTGACCCCCTTGAGCCTACATCGTTCACACTGGTTTCTGCAGCTCCACTGCCACAGACTCGAGTCATCCCTCCCTTTCACCTCCCCCGTGAGACGGCAGCCTCGGCTGAGGTGCCCTTTCATCCTCTGGGCTCCTGCCCACCATCACTTGATCATTTGTTGTAATACACAGAGTCAGGGTTGAGTTATGCTCCCAAATACTCGCTTCTTAAACCTTAAATCTATGGTAACTTAGTTCATTCCTTCCATTTTACGGTCAGGGAAATGTGGACCCAACAAGTCGAAGTAATAACTTGCTCAAGAAACACAACAAGACCCGGAGCCAAGATTAAATTAAAACCCACTGGAACCCTGGCCAATGTGGCTAAGCGATTAGAGTGTCAGCCCATGGCCATTGGGTTCATCTCTCAGTCAAGGGCACATACCTGAGTTGCGGGTCTGTTCCCTGCCCCCCAATCAAGGCACGTAGGTGGAGGGAACCAGTGGATGTGTCTCTCTTACATTAATTCCCCACCCTCACCCCCTTCCACTATCTAAAAGTAATAGAAGCTGGAATTGGTATGATTCAGTAGATAGAGCGTCGGCCTGCGGACTGAGGGGTCCCAGGTTTTGATTCCTGTCAAGGACGTGTACCTTGGTTGCAGGCACATCCCCAGTAGGGGGTGTGCAGGAGGCAGCTGATCGATGTTTCTCTCATCGATGTTTCTGGCTTTCTATCCCTCTCTTCCTCTCTGTGAAAACTCAATAAAATATATATTTTTTTAAATAAAAGCAATAGGAAAATATCCTCGGCTGAGGATTAACCAAAAAAATAATAATAAATAAGGTGACTTTAAATGCAAATACAAACCATGTGCCACATCCTCCCTTAAGATGGGAGTCACACTACTGAGTCACACTACTGCTCATTCAAGGAAGGGCGAATGCTGTGAAGATGAGTATGCTTCAGTGGCAGTTTCATAGCCAACTCCGGCCGTCCCCTTCCTGTTGGCGTCTGTGCTGTTTGCCCTTCTCAGCGCCTAACTGCACAGAGCACTTTTGAAATAAAACCCTAATAGACCCAAACATTGTCAAATTTATCACCTGTAGTAAATCTGCAGCGTTGTAAAAACGGAGTGCGTTTTCCCTTCTTTATTTGGCACACCTTAATTACTGGGGAAGGAGTACATTAAAACTGAGATCATGGGTTAATTAATTGTCCTGGACTGTAGAATTTTATGGATAGCCAGAACTAAAGTAATGGTTGTGTAGGAGCCGTCGACTAAACATGGATTATAAATGTTACAGAAATCCCCATAATTAGTCCCACTGCAGCTATTTAGCTTGGGGGTTTTATAGCAGACATAAATTATGAAGGTGAAAAGTGCGAAAAATTTTGAGTTGACATAGTGGCATTTGCAAAAGCTATCATTTGAAGGGGAGGGGGGGAAAAACACCTGTTTTGTACTATTATTAAATTTTTTTTTTCAGTTTCCCCAATTCCCCCCTTTTAAAATTTTACTTTTTAGCATTTCCATTATCATGCAATCAATGGCCATGAGGCGTTCGGTGCATACGCACAAGTGATACCTCACGAACCTAGACACGCAGCCTCATCGCCACAGGGGGAAGGGGCCTCTGTGATCACACTCCTCAGAGCCATTTCTGCATATTTTAATACATTGAAAAGGGAAGTTACGGGCTCTGTTTAAATAGTGCTCCCTGTCATTGGATCCTGACACATTTTAACCTACCTGTTAAAATGCAAGTTATAAATAGCTTCCCCTTTCAGAGGTGTTCATTATACCTCATTGGCTCTTGTTATAGAAAATGCAAATGTAATTTGAAAAGTGCCCGTTGTGAGTGTGAGCAATTACGCGTGCTCTTCCTCAGTACCCGGCTCATTGTCAGCACACACACACACACACACACACACACACAGCCACTCCGCTTGCCTTTGAAATGGAGATCGCCCCGGCTTCTGGCTGGCTGGCTAAGTGGGTAATGAGAAAATATTTCGCTTTTCCAGGGAAGCAAGCAGCTGTTGAACAACTATCCTGTCTACATAACGAGCAAACAGTGGGACGAGGCTGTAAATTCTTCAAAGAAAGACGGGAGGCGGCTCCTGCGGTACCTCATCAGATTTGTTTTCACAACCGATGAGCTTAAGTACTCGTGCGGCCTTGGGAAAAGGAAAAGGTCAGTGCAGTCAGGAGAGGCAGGTCCCGAAAGACGCCCTCTGGATCCAGTTAAAGTAACATGCCTCCGAGGTACTGCATCCTTCCGCTCAGCGTCGCCATCTGTGATCTCATTTCACCGCATTGGCTGTGGCTCGCGTGCAAGAGTATAGCCCTTCCTTTTTTTTTTTTTCTTTTTTTTTTTTTCTCCCCACACTGAGACCTCCTAGGCTTCATGCGGCCCATCTACTGGGTATCGACAAGTTCTCTTTTAAAAATCCTGGTTTGCTGTAGCCTGGGTGTCCTCCCTGAATGGCGCGTAGCATTGCATAGCACCTCATGTTTCACGCTGTGAGCTCCGACGCGCTCTGCTGCCAGAGAAGGCCATCGCCAGCCACACTGAGCCGTGGCGCAGAGGAAGGGAAGGCGTGACGTGGTTTGTTTTAATTAGCCAGGTGGTAGGGAGAGCCCATTTTCACTTGCAGCCTGTAGCCCACCCCCTCCCCATCTAGCTTCCCTCCAGAATATGTGCCCCCCCACTCCTGAAGTTTATTTAGAATTCATTTTCCTCAGTGCCAAAAGTATGACTTGGCCCTATCAAACTTCATTCGTTTCAAAAAAAGTTCCTGTGTTAAAAATACTACTTAGGTAATGCTGGATCAGTATTAATAACTGGTTGCTTTGCAATTGATCCACACTTGGTAAGCCAGGCAGGGGTTGAGGTGGAAGAATCAAGAGATGCAACATAGAATCAAGAGATTCACGCAGCAGGTTCAAATAAACAGACAGACATTAGACAATCAGGAGCATTAGAGAGCCAACAAAAAAAAACCATTCACACCTGAAAAACGGCATACCAAAAAGCTCAGCTGTTCACCTGGATAGGTCAGTAGTACGTTTATTGGTTGGAAAGATTTCACAGACTTACCCTGGACAGGAATCATATATTTCCCGACGAGGAAGGCACTGGGAAAGCCTGAGCACTGACCAGCCTCGGCTGTACCCGGGACACACTCCTCACTCCCTGCTGGGTGCCCAACGTGCCTGTTAGTGTGTCTAAACGCCTGTGTAGTATTTGTTACCAGCTGAGTCCCCCACGCCCATCCTGAGCGTCTGATTCAGCTGGTCCGGGGCGGGCATGGGGAGGCATGCATTGCTGTGCCTCAGGCCCATCCCCGGTGATCCTGAGGCCAGTGGTTCTTGTGGCTCTTACTTCAACATACCACTGGCAGGGACATGCCCTTATTAACCAGGCACAGGTGCTGCAGAGCACCCCCTGTTGGCAATTCTGGAAATTCCACTTGCTCAGAGTGGGTATGATGGAAATTTTCAGGGTCTTTCTGAGCCAACTAGCCATGATGTCCTATATTTTCCAACATCTTCAGAGCTGATGGGATACTCACCACGAGGACCAGAGGCAGGAGCGGGCCTGGGACTCCCCTGAACTTGACTCCATGTGTGCTGCAGAAGCTGGCCTGGGGCTAAAGAATGAGGAATAAGGGGCCTCAAGTGGTGTCCCTTTCCAGAAATCCTTACGAAACACTAGAGGCCCAGTGCATGAAATTCGTGGACTCGGGGAGTCCCTCAGCCTGGCCTGGGCCCTCTTGCAGTCCGTGAGCTCTTGGGGAGTGTAAGCTGGCAGTTGGACATCCTTAGTGCTGCTGTGGAGGCAGGAGAGACTCCTACCACGGCCACTGCACTCACCAGCCATGAGCCTGACTTCTGGCTGAGTGCACTGACCAGCAGGGGGCAGCTTCTGCACTGAGCATCTGCCCCCTGGTGGTCAGTGCACGTCATAGCGACCAGTTGTTCTGCCATTCAGTCAATCTGCATATTAGCCTTTTATTATATAGGATTTTACATATTAACTAGCAAGTATGTGAAACAGGAATTAGCATACGTCCCAAAGCACCAGAGCCTGTTCCCTGAGGATGCTGCCACACCCACTGCAACACTAACGCCTGTCAGGCTGCCTGAGCAGAGCTGCCTTCTCCAGCCGATGCCCGCGTGGGGACATGACCCACAGGCCTCCACTGGAGAATGAGTGGCACAGAATGGTAGCTGTCTGTCCAGGGCAGCTGGTTAGCACATCCATATGTCTGTCCCAAAGGCTGCAGTCCTAGGGCCCTCCTGTGACCTCAGTGGGATCCCCTCCCTAAGGTTTGGGCCTGGTGACTCATAGGCGTGGTGCACAGGATTACAGCGGCCAGGGAAGCCTCAGGCCACGGGACACTTAGTGATGGGCAGCAGGGAGCTTGGGGAATAGAATTTCAGCCTGCTCCCAAAGTGCTTCCTATCTGCTTAACAGAATGAGCCCAACCTTCAGCGTTTAATAGTCTGTCAGTTTCAGGGAACATCCTGTCACAGGGGAGATGGGGAGCGGAGAGGGGGGGGGGTGTCACAGCAGCGCATCCTCACCTATTAGCCTCCCTTTCCTCTCGCTGATGCTTTTGAGTCTCTCATTTCCTTGGGTTCACGTGAGTGGGGGACCTGAACAGATAGGGGAATATTTAGACAGTTGTTGAATGCTTGCTGAATGCAGCAGGGACTTGAGAGCAGAAGGAGAATAGGAAACAGCCCCTGGCTTCTGGAACTAATCAGTAGCCCGGCTGGAGATGGTCGGAGGACAGCGGTGAGAGAATGGGTGTAGATGTTTGAGTCCTTGAAGGTCCCAGATACCTCCTTTCTCTGTCCAGCACTGTGATGGCCTGGGCTTTAGAACTGCCCTTCAGTGTTCCCCAGGCTCGCACCCCAGGACAGGCCGTCAGGTTGCCCGCAGTTTGCAGAGTGAGGAGCTGAATTAACAGTGCTTTCCCCAAGGGAAGCTACCAGGGCTGGGACTGAGTGAGGCAAGTGAGCATCTCACCTCGGGCAGAATCAAAGGATCTGCCACGCCAGCAACCTGGCCGGTCTCCCTCCCCCTCCCGCTTCTCAGCTGGAGTCCGCTGGCGTGGGCACAGTTCAGGGCGAGGGAGTTCTAGGTCCAGGAACTCAAAGCATTCGCATCTGCCCAGGGCAGGTAGAGTGCGGCTTTCACAAAGCCATTCCAGACCAATCCAGTTGTACAGTGAGAACTATCGTCCTGCAGGGGGAGCATTGCCGGAAAGGAAAAGGTGTGTGAACAGTCGTCATCCTGAACTTGCAGTCAGCCGGGCAAAAAGCACAGGCAGACTTCCCACCACGGCCACTGCCACTGCATTTTACAAATGTTCCTGTTGGAATAGCTGTGTAGGGGTAGGGATGATGTAAGGTGCCCTCACCCCCCAAGGAAACACAAAGGGCTCGTTTTGGGCTCATCCATAGGAGGCCACATTGGTTTCATTGGGGCTCAGCTATTTTTTATGTATTTACTCTTCCAGGCACGCTAATTGCTTTCTGGTGGAACTAAATATTTAGAGGAAAGCTCCTTTGTAAAATACTTGTCAGTGCATATCTAGGCAATTAGAGAAATCAGTATCACCTACAACATTTTAAGAATGTGCACACGTCTTCTAGAAACTTAGGCCATTTCTCACTCCTGGAGATTGTGATTTTTATTGCACTTCATCTACAAGTTAGTAGCTGACTGAAGAATACTATGTGAACAATTTGCTCTGCTTCAGGAGATAGTTAACATCCAAAAACCGTGAGGCAGTAACGAGGGTTTTGAAAATGTGACTCACTCACTTTTACCAGGCATGGCGCCTACCATGCCTTACAAGTCAAGTTTGCTTTCAGTTTCAATAGCAAGTGGTCCTTAGAAGGACTGCCCTCTTGCTTACGGGACTTGACTCGTGCGCATGAGTCGGAAACTCACGGTGTAATGAGTGACATCATCATGGCATTGCATTGGAGTTCTCATAAAGCTTCTCTAAGAGCTTCTGTTAACGTGTAAGCAGCCTCTTCTGCCATCTTCTGCAAAAACCAGCTGTTTCTCTCTCTCTTTGATTGTGTGCATTCCCACAGAGTTCATTAGGATGCACTGTACCTCCAACCCGGACTGGTGGATGCCCTCTGAGGAGCAGATAAACAAAGTGTTCAGCGACGCCGTGGGCCACGCCCGGCAGGGCCGCGCCGTGGGGACGTTCCTGCACAACGGCGGCTCGTTCTACGAAGGGCTCGACCACCAGGCCCCCCAGGACGACGTCTTCAGTAAGAACTCCCAGGATGGGTCTGGGGACTAGTGGACAAAACCTTCCCGTGGCAGCGGCCGGTCCTCTCCAGAGTCGCCATTGTGACCGTCCTGTCTCCATCGCCGTAGAGCCCACAGCATGGCGTCCGGCAGGATGCACATCCTCAGTCCTAACTCTCTTGACCTTGTGCCGCGGTTCCCGGACGGAAATGCGTTTTGGGGTCGTTGGGGAAGCCTGTGGAGCCTACCACAGGTTTTCAGAATTCTATATTATGAAGTGAAAAGGCTGTCATTGATTTTAGGAGACTATGTGGTGAGGAAGGGGGGCGTGGCGTGGAGACAAACTCCTGGTCCCCTGTCCAAGATCTTCACATAAGTTCTGCTTCCTGCACAGAGCCGGTCCCCATGGAAGTTTGGGCTGTGTTCCTGCCCACGAGGGAAGGTAGAGACAAGGTTCATTTAAAGGGACAGGAACAAGCATTCTCTTTAATTCAAATAAGCCGTCTTTGTGTTTTCCAAAGACTTGAATTCATGCTTCTCGGCAAAGACATCAGATAGGTGACATAATATGCTCTGTCTCCACTGACAGAGCCTGTTATTGAATAGAAGTCAGAGAACAGAGGCCATCTCTAGACAGTGATTAGTTGAAAGCTATTTTTCTCGATTATTTTTACCAAAAAAAAAGCCCTCTGCCAGGTTGATGAGGGAGGCACTAAGTGACCTCTGGAGTTTACAGACAGTCACAGTTTTCATTGTGTCAGTCAGGAAACATCCAAAGATCCCAGCCGTTGTAAAATGCTTGGCTCTGTAGGTTCCAGTAACCGTGAGTCAGGCTCTGTTGACACAATGCCAAAGTGGCGGGTTAAACAAGGAGCATTTCAGTCAGCCAGGGGTTCGGTGCACTGAAGACCAAGCAAGTGGTGTGACTGATGGTATCGTCTGGGTTGACCAGATGTCCAGAATTGCGTACACACACACGCACACACACACACACACACACACACACACAGCTTCCAAGCTGTTCTGACAGCTATGCAATGGGCTTGTCCAATATTTCTAAAATTTGAGGGTCTTTGTGTGCTCAGTTGATCTCTAGAATTTGCATAAAACTTGTTTCTCGTTGTCACTGATGAAAATTGTTTCTTCCTAACTGTGGGTGCCTGCTTCCCCCAATTGTCCCCTGACCTACCAGCTCTGTTAACACCCACCGTCCCTGGTTTAATTTGTTGAGTCCCCTGTGTGAATCAGTAGTGTCTTTAGAACCATTTCTTACCCAGATGCTGCAGGGAGGAACTGTTCTGAGGGCCTTGGGTTTGGACCTCAGGAGAGGTTTGGACCTCAGACTAATGCCGGTGCCACATCCTTTGTAAGCAAGGGGCTAAGTGGACAGCGCTGGTTTTGTTTGTTTGTTTGGGGGGGTTTGGGACAGCATTATTGAAGACTGTTAATGTCATCTACAGATAGGACTATAAAGATTTTGGAAATTCATTTAAAGTTTATGAGCATCCATTTATAAAGCAGTTATTTTTGCCTTTTTTTTTGTTAAAGTAAAATATTCCTTTATGTTTAATAATTTGCATTAACTAAATGCACAGGCCTAGAAATAGGTCCTTCTGTAGCTTTTTAAATAGTTCCAACCATTGAAAGGTTTAATGTTTATAGAGATGGTCATTTGTCAGATCTGTAAAGTTGTGGAAGGAGGACTAATATTTTGATCCTATATTGAAAAAGTTACCTAAAATCTTGAGGGTTTTTTTGTTTTTGTTTTTAAGAAATTATAAGGGCAAAAGAGATGTTGTTTATGGGTACCATGAGACTAATATTTGGCTATACAAAGAAAAAAAAATACTTCTGAAGAGTTTTAGAGGTCTAGGAAATCAATATTTTTAAAGATTCTTTGGTGACATGAAATCTTGGCCAGAGGAAAAATAACCACTATAACCTTATCTGTCAGTCCATCTTATTTTTCTTGTTTTGCACTGGATTTTGTTATCCATAGTTCTGAGTGCATATCCCCTCTCTCCTCCCCCCACTTTTTTTTTTTTTGTGTGTGTGTGTAGCAGCAATATTTGACCACTGCTTTTTTTATTTTTTAGAGAGAGTGGGAGGGAGAGGCAGAGACAGAGAGAAACATCGATGTTAGAGGGGCACATCTATTGGTTGTCTCCTGCATGCACCCCACCAGGGCCAGGGAACCTGCAACCATGTGCCCTTGACTGGAATTGCACCCTGGGGCCCTGCCGTCCACAGGATGTGCTCTGTCCACTGAGCCAAGCCTGCTAGGGCTGCCCACTGCTTGTAAAAGCATTCAGCTCTTACCATTTCCCTAAAATTTTGAGAACTGCACACACCTTCACATCTCAGCATCACGTGGTGTGTGCTCCCCTGTGTGAGCTGGTCTTCGCTGACGGTGACGATGAGAGTATGTCTGCACTCTCCTTGGCCTTATGGCCAGCGTGCTGATGACAACGCGCTGACACCACTCCCGTTACCACCCAGCCGCCTGGCTGCACACAACCTTGCTCCGAAGGCTCCCCTGGTCTCTTGCCCCTCGTCCCCTTTCCAGGTGAGTTATTTCTGTATCCGCTGTTCTCCACTATTTTCCACTTTGCAAAACGCTGGAACTTCACGTTGGCCCAGAAAGATGACTGAGCATCACACCGCCCGTTCGGCTGCCTCTCCTGGAACTAGGACCTGCCTCCCCCTTCCCTGGCCAGATGTTCTGTTACGTTCTTCACTGTCCGTGTATTCCTATCTAGCCCAGCCCGCCCAGCTGCTACAGCACGCTTGGGCTGTGGCACAGGATCTGCTTAGATATTGTCCTGTCTCCTTGGTCCGCGTCCCATGCCATCCTCTAGGCTTCCCCTTTAAGGCTAGTGTCTTAGCTGGTCCGTGGTGGGCGCCTGCATGGCCACCCGGTGTTTAAGTCAGGGCTTGCAGAGACGGCTCACTCACTTTTCGGCAGGACGGGCGTGGCCGCTGTGTAGGACGGTTCAAAGCTCGCTGTCCCTGCTGTCAGCCTTTCCACGGATCTCTCTTTGGAGACCTGAACAAGTATCTTATTTTCTTGATTTAATTTTCTACATCTTTGTTTGGAATTGGACGAATTGTTCCCGTGACAAGAAGCGTAGACTCAGCTTTTATAATCTTCCCTGAGTCGGTGGAGCCTGGGTATAAAGCAGATCGCGTTGGCACAGCTCCGGACGCAGCCGGGTTCCTCTGCATTGGCGCAGGAGGAGCTGGCAGGACTGGCCTGCCACCAACCACTAACGTGATGTTTTTGTGGCCGCGTGTGGGCCCTCACCCCGCTGTCCGAAGTGCCCATACCTTCCAACGGCGACAGCGTCTTGATGTGTCCTGAGTTTTTCCAAGTTAAATAAAACCTGTCACAAAGCGTACCTGCTTTCCCAGTGACCTGAAGTTCCGCTGGGCTCAGGACACTAGTTCAGCGGCCTGCCTTGGAGGACGTAGGCCAGGAACTTGGGAACTATATAGTCTATAGTCACATTCCTCACTGTCTTTGAAGGTGCGCTGTTCAGAATTTTAACAGTGAACCTCAATGCCAAGGGCTTTGGAGATAAACGCTAAGCATTAAAGTTCGCATCATCCCCTTCTGCTTGAAAATATTTCATCCGGCCCTCGAGCCCTGGCATCATCACTGTCTTGTTCCTCGTGTTCACCACAACGTTGAGGTTATTGTCACCGTTGGTGTTTCACAGGCGTCGCTAGGAACGGAGAGGATAATTCTGGAGCATCGGCATAAGATTGCTGTCGCCCCCTTTGGTAGAGGAATCGGGTACATTTGACTGCTTCACAGCTTTAGATATGGATTCTTTTATAATCTGGGTCTGTCTTAGCCCTTCCTAAGTCATCAAAACATTGACCTTAGAGATGCCTGCATTAGGATTATAAGGAGGTTTAATTATTACAATGTATTTGATCTGACTGCTCCATGTGTCCACTATCAGTAGAATGGTTTCTTCAGTCCAGTAAATATCAGGTGCTTTCCCCAGATTTGACAGTACTCCAAGCTTGAGAGTCTACAAGTTCATGATTTCTACATCTTTCTGCCACCTTGAATGGCTTTTTCTCCCTTCTGCTGCTGTCAGAATATGGATGAAGCATCAAATAAGATGAAATGTGCACTAGTTTCCGAAAAGCAAACATAACAGAGCCTTCAATTAGATTCTGTCATTTATTATATGCTCTAGAACTTAAACCTCTCACCCACTGACTACCTCCTTAGTTTTTTCTTAGATTTTAATCATTTAAAATACCTCATTCTTAGGTCACTTCATTTTTTAGAAAACATTTAAATGTATAACTTCTCATGCAGTCCTGTGTCATTTCACAGTACAGAGCTGTGTGATATTTGACAGCTCAGATACAAATTTTTAGAAATGTAATAGAAAATGATTTTGCACATATGGTGCAAGTCTGGCTGATGTCTGTGTAATGTGGCAACACTTAACCAAAACTGCCTGGCAAAACATGTCAAACGGAATGCTTGAGTCAGAGTTCTAATGTAAATGTGTCTGAACAGCAGCATTTTTGTAAACATGCTTCTTACTGTGGTGTAAATACCGGATAAAAATAACCACTTTGCTTGGAGTCTTTAGGAAAATGTCACCCAGTCAATGGCCCTCTAGCATTGTCAGCCAGTGGCTTTTCTATTTGTGTTGTTTTTTTTTAGAGGAGAATGAGGAATTGATACCAGTCAACGTGAAGTGCAAAAACAATCACCCATCCATATTTGCCTCCTAATATGTAAAACTTAAAGCTGTACCATATATTTACAAACAAGAGACCATTTTCACCCTCCACCGTAGAGTCATTTGTGAAAA